TAACCAGAAGGTCCTGGGTTCGAACTGTGTCGGTGAGTGCGTATAGCTAAAGAGTCCCAAACTAGGACGAAACAGCTGTCCAGTACTCCTAGGTTTTCCAGTGGTTCTCTAACTGATCTGATTTCAGCTCATGATGAAATCCTCCATGCAATCAAACCAAGATCCACACAAAACCAATGCCTGAAAAAAACATACTGTTTTCATAATTTCATACGCTTATCAAATCCAATAATTTACAGATGGCTTTTTTCATCTTTACCAACTGAGCAACTTGACAATGTAAAACTAATTATTTCATATTGAAGAACGATGATTAAGTTGTTTTATATAAGCTGAGTGGATTTTGTAAATTCTGGTCTAATAATACTACTTTGATAAAGCTATTAACATCAGCACTAAGTAGCGAAACGTCAGTGAAAACAACAAATATCGTTTTCAAGAATCAGTTTCTAGGGTTTCTATTTGTTTGACATTAGATCACAGATTAATATCCGTTAGAGAACCATAGAGAACCAAAACCGACAAACTGGTCGAAGAAGCAGCCAGCGAAGACAAACCTCCAGGTGAACATAGACACGACGGAGGTTATGAAAATAACCAACCAACCAAACAACAACAACAGCAGCAACATCCAACTCCAATCAACATCAACGGGAGAGACTGGAAAGAGGTTACCTCATTCACTTATCTAGCTAGGGAGCATTGTCTCAACTACACGAAGTCGGAACGGACGAGGATGTCAAATCGACCGAGAATCGGGAAGGCAGGCGACATACACACACATTCATCAACCAACTGAAACCAATCTGGAAATCTTCATCACTCAGCATCAACAACAAAATCCAGTCGGATTTTCAATACAAACGTAAAGTCAGTTCTTCTATAAGGACCAGAAACTTGGTGGGTGGGTCACAAAGAATATTTCCATCAGATTGCGATGCAGACCTTTATCAACAACTGTCTTCGCTGGCTCTATACTGAAGATCAGATGGCCGGGCCGGAAAGAATCACCGACAAGAAACTATGGGAACAAACAAAACGAGAATCGATCGCCCAACAAATATGCAGGAGTAAGTGGACTGAGATGGATTGGACACTCGCTGAGGAGGCCGCCGGGTGACATCGCGCGCGCGTCAGGCCATTGCTCGAGTGGAACCAAGCCGAAAGGGCAGCGGCAAGTGGGTCGTCAGTGCAAGGGTGACATGGGGGAGATCGTGTGAAGAGGAGTGGAAACACAGTGTGGACTAACATGGATGCAGGTGAAAAGTACAGCAGAAGGAAGACAGAAGTGGCAAGTGGAGACGTGCAGTTGAAGCCTTATGTTCTACTAGGAACCCAAGGGAACAATGACAATAAAAGAATAAGAGAACCATTAAAAACCACCAGGAAGTACTGGGCATCCGTTTTGTCAGCCTAATGCTTGGGAGTGTATACAAGCACAAAGATATCCACAAGGCTACATGGGTGTCACCAGACGGGCAAACCAAAAACCAAATCGACTTCATCTCAATCTCAAGGAAGTGGAGGCGCAGCCTACTGGACACAAAAGCAAGAAGAGGAGCAGACGTTGGCTCAGACCACTATCTCGTACAAGGGACAATCCAAATCAAATTAAAAGCTTTCAGGGAATCAGGAGCTGCAGATAGACCACAAGCCAAGTTCAACACTCAAAAGCTGAAGGACCAGGCTACAAAGGACATCTTCATTGCAAGCATAAAGGACAAAGCCGAGACACAAATCAACACTAGCGAAGAGGTCGGCGTTGAAAAGCACTGGAACAACTTGAAAACGGTGTGGAGCCAAACCTGCATAGAAATTCTAGGCAGAAAAAAGAGACAGGACAAACAGTGGCTCACTACGGACACTTGGAAACTAATAGAAGAGAGAAGGACAGTGAAGCAAAAGATTATCCAGTGCACGACGAGCAACAAAAACAGGAGCTGAATGCAAGCTACAATACACTGAACAAAAGAGTGAAGAAAAGTGCCAGGGAAGACAAAAGAAAATATTATGAAACCATGGCAAACGAAGCAGAACAAGCTGCAGGCAAAGGAGACCTCGCCACACTCTACCAAACAACTAGGAACCTTTCGGGCAAACGTTCGACACAGATTAAGCCAATAAAGGACGACAATGGAAAGTCAATCACCAAAGAGGTGGAACAGAGAAAGCACTGGGTTGAACACTTCAAAAGACTTCTAAATCGTCCGCCACCTACAACACGTCCAGCAATACCAACAACGGAAGCAGAACTACCAGTGAACACTGACCCCCCGACGAAATCAGAAGTCCTGAATGCAATCAAGATGCTTAAAACTGGGAAAACACCGGGACCAGATGGAATCCCAGCAGAGGCTTTGAAAATAGACCCAGAGACAACAGCGGACTTGATGACACCACTACTGGAGAAGGTGTGGAAAGAGGGCAAAGTACCCGAGGATTGGAAGAACAGTTACTTATTCAAACTTCCAAAGAAAGGAGACTTAAGTCAATGTAAAAACTGGCGTGGAATTATGCTTCTGTCCATTCCAAGCAAGATACTAAGTCGCATCATCCTGGAGAGAATCAAACAAGCCCTAGATGAAAAACTTCGTCCGGAACAGGCTGGATTCAGGAGAAACAAATCATGTATTGATCAAATCGCCACTCTACGGATCATCATTGAACAAAGCTTGGAATGGCAGTCACCTCTCTATCTCAACTTCATCGACTTTGAAAAGGCCTTCGACAGCGTCGATCGAGAGGTCATTTGGAAACTACTTCGCTACTACGGGGTCCCATCGACAATTATACACCTCATCCAACAGTTATACGACAATGCTGCATGCCAAGTAATCCACAACGGGAAACTTACGGAAGCCTTCGAAGTGAGGACGGGAGTGAGGCAAGGCTGTCTACTATCACCAATGATCTTCCTGATTGCAATTGATTGGATAATGCGACAGACAACGGCAACCAACGAGGGAACAGGCATAAAATGGACTGACACAAAAGACTTGGAGGATCTGGATTTCGCCGATGATATATGTCTGATTTCCCATAAACTGGAAGATATGCAAGTGAAAAGTAACAAGTTGGCAGAAGAAGCATCAAAGATAGGACTTCACGTGAACATAGATAAAACAGAGATGATGAAGATTCCTAGCCAACATCAACAACAACAACAGACCACAATAAGCATAAATGGGAAGAACCTGAAAGAAACAACCTCCTTCACCTACCTGGGAAGCATCGTCTCAACTACAGGCGGAACTGACGAGGACATCAAAGCCAGAATCGGAAAAGCAAGACAAGCTTTCATTACTCTCAAATCTGTGTGGAGGTCAACAGCAATCAGCATCAAAAATAAGATCCGGATTTTCAACTCCAATGTGAAGTCAGTGCTACTATACGGATCAGAGACTTGGCGAGTCATAAAGAGCATCTCAAACAAACTTCAAACCTTCATTAACAACTGTCTCCGCTCAATACTCAAGATCAGATGGCCAGAAAAGATCAGCAACAGGGATCTCTGGGAGCGAACCAATCAGGAACCGATTGTGAAACAAATAGGCAGAAAGAAATGGAGATGGATTGGCCATACGCTGAGGAAACCATCAAGTGACATCACTAGACAAGCCCTCGAGTGGAACCCGAAAGGGAGGCGGCGAGTTGGTCGTCCAAGGGTGACTTGGAGGAGGTCATGCGAGGAGGAGATGAAAGCATGTGGACAGACCTGGAGCAGGGTGAAAAAGTTGTCAGAAAACCGAAGTCAATGGAGGTGCGCAGCTGAAGCCCTATGTTCCTCTAGGAACTAAAGGATACAATAATAATAATAAATAATAATGCTTGGGACTCATCGGAAGTGCGCACTCACCATCAAGCCTCGAACCTAGAACCTTCCAGTACAAGGCAAGCTAGCTCGTAGGCCATCCAACCACTGGAACCCAATTCATCAAAGACCACCCCATATATGAATTCTAACTTCTACCAATTTGTGGTGCAGTTAGCGCAAGTGGCACCAACCAATGTCATCGACAGGAATCCCATCCTCACTCCCGACTGGATGGCCCCCACTGCTGGTGACGACTTCTCAGTAGAACCGCAGGCAACGTCGTCCTGTAGCCAGTAGTCACTAGCGAGCATCAGTGCGTGAGGCGTACTGTTAATGATTCGGAAATTAGGCTGACGAAACAGCTATCCCCAATCCTCCCTGATTCTCAACCTGATATCAATCTGTGGTCTAGGAACCACAAAAACTTTTATAAAACTACCTACCCGCCCTATTTAATTAAAAGGTGTTAACCCCCCCCTCACACACACACACACGCATACACATAAAAATCAGAGGGAAAACAAAGACAACCGGAAGGTCCTGGGTTCGAACCCCTGTGCGTATTGTGATGAAGAACTCCAAGTGCTAGGTTGACGAAACAGCTGTCCAGTACTCCCTGGCAGGTTTTCCAATGATCCTCTTGTAGTGAGAAAATATGAACAAGGCTGATTCAACAACCAATTGTGGTGAGAGCAGACTGCTAGCCGATTGGTTGACACTAATCTACGTTAATGTCTAGGTCACTAATATGGGCCGTGAGAAAATATGAACAAGGCTGATTCAACAACCAATCACATCAAAGTTAGCGTGGCAAAATATGATTCGCAGATAGAGAACTCTGTTTGTCAAGGAATCCCAAAACAACCAATCAGAAGCCTGCGTTTGTCTGTAACCAATCAGATGACTGCGCTTTTTCTACTTGCATAAGCTATAATAATGTATGTGAAATATATATAAATACGTGTTGATTTTCATAATAAAACGATCTGTTGCCTGGCCCTTGTCTTCTGTTGTTACACTCTAACCGATGTCAGTCAGTTCGTGATGAAATCCTGTTGTAACCAACCAATCAAATCCCTACAAACCAATTCTTGAAAAAAAAGAACAACTTTTCTTTCTCCAGTTGTAAAGGAGTAAAAACAGAGAGATAGACAGATAGATACACACACACGAATTGGGTGCTTACTTTTAGCATCAGCTTTAGGATATAAATCTTTCCACGCTTTTCTAGGATTATTTTTAAACTTTTCAACAAAACTTCGAGCCTGTAAAACGAGAAAATAAACAATAAAAGAAAATAATCAGTCAATTTCAAATAGGGAATAAAAATAAATTGGTTTTATACGGTGATTTATGTATGTATGTGTGTGTGTGTGTTTCTTGGACATGTATCCACCATAATTGACCACTATGTGTGTGTATGTATAAATTTGTGTATTATATGGCCGGAGGCAACCGTTCACAGAAAGCCCTAGCTACACCTAGGTTTCGTGCTAGTTGGCACTCACACTAGTCAATTACCAAGGCGTGTACCTGCACTTTTGAAGGAACTCGTGTCCCACTTGAGATCTAAACGTGGGTCACGTAGTGGAGCAGTCGTAGGCGCTACGTTATCACTGAGCTACCCGGTGTAGCGATTCAGCTCCTTTAGGACTGTGCTTTATTGGATTGATTATTGATTAGACACTCTAGTTATCAGCTAGTGTTCAATCAAAGTATAAATAAGTGTGCTGCCCTAACAGTCCGCTTTGACCTCCTTCATGCTGTGAGACATGGCTATCGGAAATGGAAGATATGAAAATGTTCAGCGTGAGGGAAAATCATTGGATAAGGTTGTGAAGTTACGCAGACTGAAATGCCTAAGACACATGCTACGCATGCCAAGCCAGTGCCTTCCACGACGAGTAGTGTCAGCTGGCATTCAACCGGGTGGGGGGGAAGCGTTAAAAATGGTCAAACCCAAACCTGGCATCAATTCATGAAGTTTCTGGCAGTTTAGTTTGGGCTAGACACGTAAGAAGGTGTAGACTATCTGGTCGGAGTCCTCAGGATACTAAGAACCAGTGACATGAGACTGACTATTGGCGATAAAGCCTAAAATCGTCTGCAAATGGAGCAGATGCATTCAGTCTTTGCGGTATCCCACGTTCATTAAACTATCTTGTTTTCCTATGCTAACTGATTGACAGACTGTCTGTGCATTTCGGATAGTGAGGACGATTGTTACTTCCCGGCTGCCCACACCGTGGAAGTTGGTTGCGTGACCGCAGAGCCCAGGGGACAACTGCTTGAGCCACGCCGGTCACACGCGGCATCTTTTTGTTTGTTCTCTTTTGTTTGGTGTGCCTCAGTAGCATACTTATCACTCCTGCCCTGTGACACGGCAGCAGGAAGCGCGGTCGTTGTTAATCCGGGCCACGACCGATCCGGCATGAAATTTTGTGGTTTTCTATGTATCATTATGTTGGATTGGGTAGCTGCTTTTTGTTTAACCGCTATCCAAACAACCTACCTGTCATGGTAGAACCTCAAGAGGCATAAGTCTCAGCCAGTATAGCTTGATTAGGTCGTTGCGGTGTTCAAGCCCGACCACCACGTCAAGGTAGCAGCTTTCGGTCGAGCTGCTGACTAGTTTCAACATAGAACTCTATACAGAAGTGAAGCACTTTGTGTTGGCTAGGTATGCGTAACACATATCCTAGCCGTCTCAGTCGATGAAAATGTAAAGGTGCATCGATCGATTTTCCTTCCTTACCTAACACTTGACGCCTAACATTAATAGTATTCATCCTATTGTAGCACCCAACATGGAAGATAGAAGGCACACGCCTCTGATCATATTTTTCACTTTCAATATATCTCACAGCCATAAGGGAGGAAAGACAGTACACACGATAGGCGAATATCATGTCTCGACCGGAGAAAGCGTAAGTTAGCAAATCACACACAAGCCTTTTGTATCCATCCTAAGACTTCGACAGTGATCAGTCCTGTTGGGGGTGATGCAACATCTCAAATAGGTGGAGAGCAGCCAACACGCTCCACTAACCACTTCACTCCTTTTCTTTAAGTTAGGAGTCAGTGTAGTCCATTCCTACAGCATCATCTTATATTTGACAGAAGGAGCGATTCGCATGCCAAACATTCGAAGATTGCTTTCTGATTAAGGCGTTCAAAAGACTCTGCATTTGTCAGTGATTTCACCTAGGAGGGCAATATCATCCTCATACTATACTTTAAATCGAAAAGACAGTCCCTCTGGTCAATCCCTAACTCACTGAAGTCATTCAGGGTCAATTCCATTCGTACGCCTATGATGAAATTAAACAAAAATAGATACAAAACTGGGTATCGTTGACGGATATCACTGGTTGTCATCAATTCGGATAACAACTCTCCGAAAGCTCTACGATATATTGATGCATCTGAACTTCTAGTCTTATCGCTACACAGTTGAACTTTCCAGGAACGACTATTCCAGCCATTATAATATGTTGGCCGGAAGTTGTGACCAGTGGGGTACGGTTGGTCGGATATGAGGACAAACACTCGCCACCAACAACATTAGCTAGCGCCGGTCACGCTGTTTCCAGAATCGGCAAAAGTTGGGATCCATTGGCTAACCATTGGATCGGCTCCGTCCTCCTTTATGGCTGTGAGACCTGGCCACTGAGAGTGGAGGTCATGAAAAGATTATCTGTCTTTGATCACAGGTGCCTGCGTTCTATCTCCCGTGTGAAGTGGCATAATAAGGTGAGCAATATTGAGGTTAGGCGTCAGTGGAGTTCTAGGTAAACAGGGGAAATCAATCGACGGAGTTGTGAAGTTACAAAGACTGAGATGGTTAGGACATGTATTACGTATGCCTAGTTATCGCCTTCCTCGACAGTGGGCAATATTTGATGACATAGGGTCAGGCTGGAAAAGAGCTAGCGGCGGTCAAACCAAAACATGGCACCAGTCAATGAAATCTACAACAGTTAGTCTACGCCATGTAGGAAGGTGTAGACTTCCTGGTTGGGGTCCTCGGGACGGTAAAAACAAATGGTTGGAAAAAGTTGGTGACATGGCTCAAAATCGTTCTCAGTGGCGCAGATGCATCCACTCCCTGTGACTTATGATTTTCCAATGATTTCCAATGAAACTACATTGTTCTTCGTTACTTCTATTCCTTTGTCTCACACCTCTGTTTACTGTCTCTATTATGCCTTTCTTGTACTTTCTTTTCTTACTTTGTGTGCTACATGGAATGTGGCGACTTGAACTGCCGCACATATGTGCAAAGTTCTATGTCGAAAACAGACAGAGACAGAGAGAGATTTAATGGTCTACGAGCTAGCTGCCATTATAACCAGAAGGTTCTGGGTTCTAACACTGCTCGGTGGGTGCGTACTGTTGAAGAGCCCCAAACACCTGGACGAAACAGTTAGCTGTCCAGTACTCCCAGAAGGTTCTTCAATGGTTCTCTAACCCGTGTCAGCTCATAATGAAATCCTGTAAAGCTATTATTATTATTATTATCATTATTATTAAAAGGTGTGTTGATATCAGTCTTGTGATTCATAGTTAACCAAATGTTTCGCCACATGTGTTTATCGAGACTTCCCAGTTCCATAGCCTTTCAGACCATCTTTGTACATGTGTTCCCCCACTTCCTATGTACGTGTGACCACACACATACACACACAAACATGGAAATCAGTATACAGTATGGAGTGTGACATAATCACACTTGTGTAATGTTGAGACACACATGTGAGGTAGCTTCTCAAATAGGTATAAGTCACAAATAGATCACATTTTTTCAAATAAACTCCGTCTTTTAAGTACTCTATCCAAACACTTAGTAAAGTAATTAACTGTCTGAAAAGAAATCTTCGTTAAAATATTTCACTCTTAGATTCATCCGATTTAGTAAGAGCATATATGTATATATATTAGATATACGAGCTTGCCTTGTAACCGGAAGGTCCTGGGTTCGAATCCCAGTGGGTGCATACTGCCGATGATTCCCAAACTAGGATGAAACAGCAGCTGTCCAGTACTCCCTGGTTTTCAATGGTTCTCTAGCTGATATCAATCCGTGATCAACTCGTAAAATATATTAGATGGTTGGAGGTAATCGGCAGCAGGAAGCCTCGCTTAACCTAGGTTTCGTGCTAATTGGCACTCACACAAGTCAGCAAGGCGTATCTGCAACCTCAAAGGAACTCATGTCCCTTCTGAGATTCGAATTCGCATCACCCAGTGCTGTAGTCAAAGACGATGGCGAGCTACCCAGAACGGTGGCCATATTGCAAACCTGAATGAAAGAATTCAGCCTGCACCAAAGAAAGGACTAGACACATCACACTAGTTACTAGTGTACAGTCAAAGAATATATATACATATATATACCATACCCTACTTATCTTACTTACTTACTTTACTTTACTTCGGCTATCTCCTACGGGAGGATGAGCCGGCTTCATGAACGTCTCGAATCATCGCTGCCCAGGCGCGGCAATTCCTTACAAACTCTACTTAAAACATTCTTCTTCGTTCTTTCACACTCTGTACATCTCGACCTTTTTGTTACCTCTTATGCCAGTAAATGTGGTAGTAGTATCTACTTTTCTAACACCTTCAAACACTCTGTTCACTTTTGGCTTTGCTACCGACCGATATGCCAATATGTTGTTGTCAAAATTAACTAACTGAGAATACCCATAATATATGTAGAATTTTATTTAATGTTAATGTACGAACTGGATGCTATACTGTAGTGAAATACTGAGAATTCCATTCTGCATCACAAGTACTGTTTTGGAATAAAACAAATTATTATTATTATTATGATACAAAGAGGAATGTAACACTAACCTTGTCATTTACAATCCATACTTGATCCTCTTTACTCGGTGATCCTAAGACTCCGAGGATAAGGGTTAACTGTTCAACATCTGATCACAATAAAAGTTAAGGAAATTGAATAGTACAAATATGATCTAATTTTCAACTATTGGCTTATTTGTAGGAATTTACTTTGATTGCTTGGAGGAGGATTTCATCATGAGGTGATATCAGTTAGAGAGAACCATTGGAAAACCTGAAGGAAGTACTGGACAACCGTTTCGTCCTAGTGTTTGGAACTCTTCATCAGTATGCACCCACCGCCAAGGCTAGAACTCAGGACCTTCTGGTTACAAGGCCAGCGAGCTAGTAGACCATTAAGCCAATCGGACTCGATTCAATGACCAGTGTATGAATATTCTAACTTCTACTAATTCATGACATAGCACGACCACTTGGCAATTTCTTCTTTCGATGAGTTATTGCCTCACCAAACTAGGCTGACGAAACAGCTGTTCAGTACTCCCTGGTTGATTTTCCAATGGTTCTCTCTCTAACTGATGTCAGCTCATAATGAAATATGCTCTCAATTATTTCCCTTTCCTATCCATCAGGGGAAAAGAATTTCTGAACTATATTTCAAATGTTAACAGTTTCTATGATAATAAATATTAGGAAAGACATATATATATACATATAAGCAAATGCAGGTAACATAAGAAGCATCATATCTATATGCTTACGTAAGTTTGAAGACATACTAGTGTAACGACAGAAGACAAGGGCCAGGCAACAGATCGCTTATTGAGAAAACCAACAGATATTTATAGATTTTTATGTACATTATTGTCAACGAAAAAGCGACTTCTTCTGATTGGTTGTTCTCTTGCTGAAGGTTACTCTGTACTGCCTGTGATCGTTCCTCAAAAAGTTAAGCCATATATATATATATCTGCGAATCTTATTTGCACACGTTAATTCTGCTGTGATTAGTTGGTGAGTCCCTCAAAGGTTAAGCTTTGTCACTGTTTTACTCATGACCTCGATTAGGCAAGTAACATTGACGTAAATTGATGTCTACAATTTTTGGCTTGCAGCCAGCTCTCACCATACTAGTAACGCAATTTATTACTACTATTATTATTATTAGTCACCTGGGTTCCAAGTGAAACATAGGGATGGCTTCAACAACACATATCCGCTCTCTTGTATCTTCTGCTGTCCTCTTCAGCTGGGTCCATGATTGTCCATGATCTCTCATCTCTTCCTCACACGGTCTTCTCTCCATGCCACCCTCACGCTAACGACCCATTCGTCGCTTCCTATTTGCATTCCGTTAGAGGGCCTAACGCGTGATGTCATTCGATGGTCTCCTCAATGTATGCTCCTACATATTTGTTGAGCGATCGGTTCAGGGTTGGTTTGTCCCCATAGTTTCTCGCTACTAATTCTTTCTCGCCGTTTGATCTCCAGTATGAAGCGAAGGCAGGTGTGTTGATAAAAATCCAAAGAAATGCTTTTCGTGACACGCTCGCCAAGTTTCTGATCCGTATAGAAGGATCAACTTTACATTGGCGTTGAAAATCTGGATCTTTTTCTTATACTGAGTGTAGAGGATTTTCAAACTGGTTCCAGGTTGGTTGATGAAGGCGTATATTGCCTCGCCTTTCCGATTTTGACATCTTGACATCTTCATTCGTTCCGCGTGTAGTTGAAACGATGCTGACTGCCTAGATAAGTGAAAGAGGAGGTAACCTCTGCTAAATCTCTCCCGTTGATGGTGAGTGGTGCGGGGTTGTTGTTGTTGCTGGTTCGTTGGTTGTCTTCATCATCACCTCCGTCTTCTTTATGTTCACCTGTAATCTAGCCTGTCTTCGCTGAAGTTCTCCACTAGACAACTTTAAATAAATCTCATAAGGGACATGAGTGTTCCTTCCACATTGCAGACACTACGCCTTGCAGACTGACTGGTGTGAGTGCCAACTAGCACGAAACCTAGGTACAGACAGTCAAGGCTTCCTGTGGCCGATTGCCTCCAACCATCTAATATCAAACAATTCAAAGTGCACTATGATGGCGAGCCACCTCTACTGGCATGATGGCCATATTGCAAACTTGACTTTGATAGAATTCAGTCTGCACCAAACAAAGAAGAACTAGACATTTAATTCAATTTTAGATTTTTCCTGTAGATTGATTGGACCGAAGTGCTCGGTTTCAGGTTGACATGTCTGTCGACTTCTTGTGCAGATGCTTCGACGATATCTGGGCATGTAATTAGAAGTTAATTGGTGGATGGTGACTAGCAGTGGAATCCAGGAGGCGCATTTCGTCCTATTTGGGACTCGTGGTTACCTGGATATACCTGCACTCCGCAATGAGTGATGTTCTCACCGTGGGTCGAGCTCAGTGCCCATCGTCGAGACCGAGCACTTCGGTTCAGTCAATCGACGGGAAAATCTCAAATTCAATTAAATAATTAGTGTGACCCGTTGCACAAGACGTGGCCCAACCGGTCTAATGGATAACGCTTTGGCGTTTGAAACTATAGGCATTGGGTTCGAGCCTCGATGAGAACACCATCACTCACTACGGAATGCAGGTACATCTGCCAGGTGACGAGTCCCAAATAGACGAAATGCGCGTTATCCTGGATTCCACACTGCTAGTCACCATCATCCACCAATTAAAGAACTAGACACATTACACTAATTACTAACTAGTATCCAATCACCAGAAGAAAATTTATACACTAAAATACGAAAAATCAACAACAACCACAACAGGTATAAAGGATACAATGTTTTCCTGGGAATAATGGTCGACGATTTAACATCTCGCCAAAAATACATCCCACAGACCATATATCAATTGCTTTTGTATAACTTTTTGAACTGAGCATAATTTCTGGCGCTCTGTACCATCGGGTTGCAACATACTCTGTTAGCATACCCATATGATCATGTTCAGGATCATTGACTCGTGCTAATCCAAAATCACAGATCTAAATATAAAGAAATAAAAAAAGAAACGCACTTCTGTTTACTCGGTGCTAATCAATACTCTTGACAAAAACTACAAATGTTTTCAGTATTGAATACAACTCGAATAAGTTCCATGTGAAACAAATATTGTAGCCCTGTAGTTCAGTTATATAGTCTGTCATTGGCTGTCATCTCTCATGATTTGTGTCTGTAAGTATGGTATGCACTTTGTTATAAGATTGCTAAAAGCCTGTACCTGTACTCACTCCAGCAGATGTACCACTTGAAGTTATCTGCAAGTGCATGTATACACGTATTTATGGGACTGTTGGAGGTGTAACGAATGAGATCTCCAACCATATAGTGAAAGCCAAGGCGGCCTAAAAACCAGTCTGCTCCATTTGAATGTGTTCAAACATCGTGATATCCGGCTGGTTATCGACCAAAGGGCGTATGTACTGTTCAGCAGTTCGCCCCATCCTCCTTTACGGCTGGCTGTGAAAAATGGCCATTGAGAGTGGAGGATATGAAAAGGTCGAGTAGCTGTCTTTGATCATAGGTGCCTGCGTTCTATCTCCCGTGTGTAGTGATATAATTAAGGTGAGCAATATTCAGGTTAGGCGTCGGTCGAGTGCTAGGTAAACAAGGGAGATCAATACACAAGGCTGTGAAGCCACATCAACTGAGATGGTTAAGACATCGCCTTCCTCAAAGGGCAATGTTAGCTGACATAGGGTCAGTCTGGAAAAGAGACAGTAGTGGTCAAACCAAAACATGGCTTCATTAGTCAATGAAGAAATCCACAACAATTAGTTTAAGCCAGCCACACATAGGAAGGTGTAGACTGTCCTGCTGGTTGCGATCCTTGGAACGGTAAACACCAATGAAGGCTGGAGACAATTGGTGGTGATATGGCTTAAAGTGATCGTTCTCAACAGCTAGCGCAGATGCGTCCATTCCGTGTGATTTATAATACCCAATGAAACTATATTATTCTTCGCCATTACTATTCTTTTTGCCTCATATCTCTGTTTACCGTCTCTATTTTGCATTTCCTCTTACTTTCTTCTCTTGCTTTGTGTGCTACACATGGTGTGGTGACTTGAACTGCTGCAAATCGATGCAAAGTTCTGTATTGAAAACAGTTAGTCACTTAGTCAGTTCAAACATTTACTTAGATCAATAGGCAAAACAGAAGACCGACTGACTGAATGGGTCAGTCTTCTTTAGAATTAATAATAATAATAAAGAATTCAAAACCTCGATATTACTATAGTATATAGAAGGACCAAAAGAAATTCTGCATAAGATTCTTAATAAGATTGAATATTGAGGTGTCATGTAAACCAACAATTAATTCACTCAGATACAAGCTTTGTCGCCTTAAGAACCCTACAGATATCTCATTAGAACAGATAAACGAATTGACCAAAATATCATGTGAAATTAATTAATAAATAGGTCAAACTAGTAAATAAAAAAAACCTGAGTCAGTTAGGTTATATTAGAACGTAGAAATTTAGCTAAATATAGAATAATTGACTGAGCTGAGGTTAAAGTAAGTATACGTGAAGAGCAGCCTGGTCAAAAAATCATTAAGGCGGCTACAATTTCTAACCAACAAAATGGTGCTGCTTAGCTTAAACTCTTCTGCATTTCTCTTATTGTTTTAATAATCATGAAACTATATAAGAGGATCTGGACTTCGCCGATGATATATGTCTGATTTCCCACAAACTGGAAGAGATGCAAGTGAAAAGCAACAAGTTGACGGAGGAAGAAGCATCAAAGATAGGACGTCACTCCAGGTGAACATAGAGAAAACAGAGGTGATGAAGATTCCTGGTCAACATCAATAGTAGCAACACCAACAGAAACAACAATAGACACTAATCAACCAGCATAAATGTGAGAAATCTGAGAGAAACAACCTCCTTCACCTACCGACATGGGAAGCATCGTTTCAACTACATGTGCAGTAGTTCGAGTCACCACACTCCCTCCTTGTAGCACACAAAGAAAGAGAAGAAATGAATAATAGAGACAGTAAACAGAGGTGTGAGACAAAGGAATACTAATAACGAAGAACGATATAGTTTCATTGGAAATTATAAGTCACAAGGAGTGGATGCATCTGCGCTAGCCATTGAGGACGATTTCGAGCCATATCAGCGATTGTCTCCAGCATACATTGGATTTTACCGTACCAAGTACTCCAACCAGGAAGTCTACACCTTCCTGAGTGGCTGGCTTAAAATAACTGTTGTAGATTTCACTGACTGATGAAGCTGTTTTGGTTTGATCACAACTGGCTCTTTTCCAGCCTGACTTTGAATCAGTTAACATTGCCCACCGTCGAGGAAGGCGATGACTAGGCATACATGAGTAACACAAGTCCTAACCATCTCAGTCGATGTAATTTTACAGCCTCGTCGATTGATTTCCCCTCCCACCCACCTAGCACTCGACCCAAGCGTAAACTTAATATTGTTCACCTTATTATACCACTCTTCATACGGGAGATAGAGCGCAGGCACCTATGATCAAAGGAAGCTAATCTCTTCATGTCTTCCATTCTCAATGGCCAGGTCTCACTCACAGTCATAAAGGAAGACGGAGCGGACTGCTTAGCAGTACACTCGCCCCTTGCATGTAATTACATAATAGGATGGGATAGGGTAGAACTATCAAGGAGTAATATAGTTATATTGGGGGGGGGGGGGAAGAAGGTAATCCCTCAATCAATACCATACAGGTAGGTAAAATAGAAACGATCCAATACACGCACACGAGATATATACAAAATTACACTAAAAGACAAAATAAAATAAATTTTAAAAAATATATAAAACAAGTAACGAAGTCGTGTGAATACATATCAATCGATGATATGATTGTGAACAATAAGTTCTGTTTGAGACGTCATCACTGTGTGTTACATCACATGGACTTATCTAATATGGAACTATATTCTACTACAGTATCTAAATCCTACTCTTACATTAAAGTGATCAGATACCCAAAGTAGGCATACACATGCAGTGAGTTGACATACCAATATGGATTGTAATATTCATGAATTTTAAATGTTATGTAATGTCAGGGAAAATCAGAGTTGAATTAAAAACAAATAATAATAGTGACAGCAGTTGCAGAATAGGTGGCTATCATTATCCAAGGCGTCTAGTGGATATTGGCGTTGGCGTTTGAAACGGGATGAGTACTGGGTTCGAGGTCCCCCCTGACTCATCCACTGGGGGAATGCAATTACATCTCTTAGTTGATGATTCCCGGAAATAGGATGAAATGCACATCCTGAACTCCACAGCTGGTCACCATCCGCCAAAAATTACTCCATGCTGTGTAGTCTGTCTGTCTGTCTTGGATTCAACATAGAACTTGGCACCGAAGTGCACCAGTTCGAGTTGCCACGTTCCAAATAGCACACAAAGGCAGACAAGAAGATGAGTGAAGAGAATCAATAGAGTTTGACAAGTATAAGAGTGAAACAGAATGGGTAATGGTAGAAAGGAATATGAAAGATTACAGAGACTGAATACATCTGCGCCAGTGACAATGATTTTGAGCCATGTCACCTATTGTCTCCAGCCATTGATTCCTAGAGTCCCGAGGGCCCCAACCCGGGAGTCTGAATCTCCCTACCTGACTCAGTTTAACTGTCAAGGATTTCATGGATTGATGAGGCCATGTTTTTGTTTGGCCACCACTTACTCTTTTCCAACCTGCACCTATATCAGCTAGCAATGCCCGTCGGGGGAGGCGGTGGTTAGGCATGCGCACCACGTGACCTAGCCATCTTAGTCTATGTAACTTTATAGCCTCGTCGATTGATTTTCCTTCTTTGCCCAACACTCACGCCTAACGTCAACATTACTTACCTTATTAAACCACCTAACGTGAGACAGAGATCGCAGACATTTATGATCGAAAGCAGTCAACCTTTTCATGTCTTCAACGCGTATTGGCCATGTTTCAGAGACATAGAGATGGACGGAGCGAACTGCTGAGCAGTACACACGTCCCTTGGTTGATAGCCGGATGTCACGCCTACGCCAGAGATGGTGTAAGTCAGCGAAAGCAGCTCGAGCTTTTCGGATCCGTGCTGAGGTTTCATCGCCAATCAGTCCGTTGGTGCTAATACAACTTCCCAAATAGGTGAAGTGGTCAACATGTTCTATCACTTCAATCCCTATCACTAAGTTAGGAGTTGACGTGGTCCAGTCCTGTAGCAGCATCTTACATTTTGTAGGGGCGAATGTTATTAATTGACAAAAACCTAAGTGTCACACAAGTGAATGGCATTATTTTCATAATATTTTCTGAATGAGTAACATAGGGAAAACAAACAAACTTATTTGAAGAGTTCCTATGATATCTAAGAAGCCTAGTAAAGTTCTATATCCTTTCGTAGTCTATGCTGAGGTTGGGGTACAACATATTTTTCAACCTACTACACTTATTTAAACACAAAGTATATCTCATAATCGCCTGCTAGTTCAATCCCCCGACCGATAGCTGCTACCTTGACGTAGTGGTCGGGCTTGCACATCGCGATGACCCAACAAGCTGCAATGGCTGGAACCAATGTTCCTGCAAGTCCTACCATGCCAGGAATGTTGTTAGGATAGCGATTAGACTAAAAGCAGTTACCGGCATGGTTGAAGAATCTTTCTTACACTATACTGGGGGTCTGAGGGCGAAGTCGTACTACTGGGTAAAACAGGGGTGTAACAGCAGTGAGTTGTTTCCCTCAGATGAACAGCATGCCAGCAATGCTGTCTCTCTACTCTGGAGAGAGGGGGTTAGAAAAGGTCGACCCCAAAAATTGCACATCCCGACTTACCCTACGGTGGTTCGTAACCAAGGGTAAGTTTACTAATACGGAACCAATCCAAGAAACCAGTTCATACAGGCCGTGTGTGACCGAACTCAAGCAGTTATCTTCTGGGCTCTGCGGTCACGCCAACACTAACCCTCTTTCTATTTCAGGTACCCAAAGAATCAATCAACTTCCGCGGTGTGGGCAGCCGGGAAGTAACAACCGCCCACGCACTTCCAAAAGCACACGAAGCCTTCCTGGGTTAGTTCAATTGTTATAGTAACTAAAGATGGGATTATTTCATTTCCATCTCTTGTGGTTTCTAGTAGAATGTAGGACTTCAGTAGCAGTGGTGTTATGCTTAACGGGGCGGAGTTTCTAACCTCATGCCCGCCCACCTTCCCTTCTTTTTGGGAATCTATTAATTGGTTAGTTAACTAGGCAAGGTTTAGGAGTACGTCGACCGTGAACAGGACCCAGACCACCCTCATATGGCTGGTCGGCGAGGATGAAATGATTGAAAACAAAACTTATTTAGAAAAATAACACTGAAGGAAGGAATCATCCCTTAGATTGGCTTCCCTCATATTTTGTACAAGTGAAAAGCAAGACTCATTATCCACATATCCTTGAATACAAAAGAAAAACTTTCAAAAAAAAATACCAAAATTACCTTTAAATCACAGCTAGCATTTAACAGGAGATTGGAGGGCTTTAAATCACGATGTAAAACATTCGCAGAATGGATATACTTAAGACCTAAAGACAAAAAAATATAGTTCAAAAATAATTTACATGTATTTATATATATTCAAACAAGAGACAATCTTCATTATGGATAAGATTTTATTTTGATAAAGTGTCACACAGTGGTGTTATACAGTAAGTACTATTAACTGATGTGACCACCTTTCGAGCACAAACTACTGCCAATCATATCAAGTTACTCACTCACACAACTTTCTTGCTTCATTTATATACATGTGTGGAATCGATTAGATATTGGATATAAATTCCAAGGCAAAATATAAAGACAACCAGACGGAGTAGCAATAGAATGAATCACTAATATCGCCTATCGTAGCAGACATATTTATGGACAGCTGGGAAAGTAGTACTCTTAATGCATTTAATCCCACTCCAAAGATAATATGCTGAAGATAGGTGGAAGACACTTTCACACAGAGTGTTGCAAAGAGAACATATCTCGCTCTCTGGCTTCTTGACACATATAAACTCACTAGTAGAGGGAATAAAATTCACATTTGAATCGGGAAATGAACAAGTAGAATTGGCTATGTTGGATTATAAAATAAAACGAATAGAAGAAGGCAAACTACACAGTAGTGTTTATAAAAAACCAACGCATTCTGCTTATAGATATTCAGACTTTAATTCATCTCATCCGTAATCTGTATGTTAAGGCAGGCTTAGTTAAGTGTCTAACAAACCGAGCAGTAGTACTAAGTAGCACAAAAATAGACCTAAATTATGAAATAGAACAGATAGAAGAAGCGTTGGTGTTCAATAACTATCCTATAAAATTCATTAGGAAGACCACAAAAGGTCGAAAGCAAAATAAAAACAATTGTGAAACTAATAATGATAACATAAATAAGAGAGAATATAAGTCATCCACTATTATACCATCTAAGGAGGGGACATCTGAAATCCTCCCTACATAGGATTCTTAATAAAGCGGGGATTAGGCTGGTGGCATTCAAACTTAGAAACTCACTCAGGTTGGACAAATTCTGTAGGCTAAAAGACCCTGACGGTGGACCCAATTAAACAGAATAATATAATTTACAAAATACCCTGCAATGACTATCAGTGAGATCAACTATATAGGTCAAACTAGTAGATCGGGGGTAATCAGATTGGCGGAACATAAGAATTTATCTAAGTTAAGAATGAGTAATTTAGAAAAAAGCTCAGCGACTGCCATACATCGATTAACACACTACCACACAATAGGGTGGGAGAGGGTTAAGACTCTAAAAAGTAATCTATGTAGGTGGACAGAGAGATTGATTATTGAATCTTTGTTCATTGAGTCTACACCCAACACATGCAACAGATATGACTCAATGCAAATACCATACCACCAGCCAGTCAAATCAGTGGAGGATAATAAATAATCTCAAAATTCTATTTCAATACAAGCACATCACAACATTCTAACAAGTTATTTATTATGACTATAGAAACACTCGTCTTATTTCCCATCTGATTGTATTTCGTTGATAACACTCATATTATTATTTCTGAATGTACATTATCCTATACTGATTTTTATTCAAATGTCTAATTATCAATTACGCACCTGTATATAAATGAAGGGGAAAAGTTGTGTGAGTGAGTGACTTTATATGATTACTAGTGGCAATAGTTTGTGTTTGAAAGGTGGTCACATCAGTTAATAGTACTTACTGTATAACAAACACTGTGTGACACTTTATCAAAATAAAATCTTATCTATCCATAATAGAGTTATACTCTACCATCACAGTGCCCAAGTTTTATACTTATATTGAAGAGACAACAATCTTACCTCGAAGTACTTGATACAAAAAATAACAAGTATGCTCTCCTGATAATTCTTGTGTTTTCAACAACTTGTACAGATCAGTATCCATTAAAGTTTGAATGATATAACTGAAATTTAATTAGCGGGGGAGGGGGGAAGGAGAAATAATCAAGTTAAGACGTGAAAACTGAAGACTTACACATCTTTCATATCTTCTAACGTATTTCCAACCAGTAGGATATTTTTGATATCAATTATCTGAAAGAAAGACAGAAATAAGTAGGAGAAAAGACATCAAAGCTTAGATGATTCATTGGTGGTAAATCTAATTGGTAAAACTGTCTACAACAGTTGTGGATAAGGCATCCAACTTCAAGTTAGAATGTTGGTGCGTCGGTGGTTTAACGAGACATCCTAGTTTGATTGCCAGCTAATGCATTTTTTAAAAAAAACCTGGCCCAATTGCTATTAAACCGCATAAAAAGGGAAAGTTGGATGTGTCACTCTAGCAATTCCACACCGTAAAAAACAAAACTCGAACTCATGCAGTCAGCCAGGTGAGGGTTTACGGCGAGTTGTCATCTGAAGTGGTGATGACTAGTGGTGTCCGTCAGGGATGCCCACTATTCCCATTTCTGTTCAATTTCATCAAAGATGTACTAATGGACTTAACCCTAACTCACTTCAGAGACTCAGGGAATGACTCGTTACCAAGGAATAATCTCGTTGACTTGGAATATGCTGACGATATAGTCCTTCTAGGCGAAGACGCTGACAAAATAGAGCAAAGTCTTCAAAACACACTGAGGAGCTGCAATCTACGAATGTTTGCCATGCGATTTGCCCCCGCCAAATGCAAGATGATGTTACAGGACTGGACTGGACTACACCGACTCCTAGATTAGAAATAGGGAGTGAAGTAGTAGAGCACGTTGACCACTTCACTTATTTGGAAAGTACCATCAGCCAGTGCCAACGGGTTGATCTCTGAAGAAATCTCAGTACGGATACAGAAGATTAGTTTCGCATATGCCAGTTTACGCCGTCTCTGGCATAGGCGTGATATCCGGCTGTCGATCAAAGGGCGGGTGTACTGCTCACCAGTCCGCTCCGTCCTCCTTTATGGCTGTGAGACCTGGCCATTGAGAGTGGAAGAGAAGAAAAGGCTGGCTAGTTGTCTTTGATCGTAGGTGCCGCCTGCGTTCTATCTCACGTGTGGAGTGGTATAATAAGGTGAGCAATATTGAGGTTAGGATACGGTCGAATGCTAGGTGAGTTGGAGGGGAAATCAATCGACGAGGCTGTAAAATTACATCGACTGAGATGGTTAGGACTTGTGTTACTCATGTATGCCTAGTCATCGCCTTCCTCGACGGTAGGCAATGTTAGCTGATATAGGGTCAGGCTGAAAAATAGCTAGCGGCGGTCAAACCAAAACATGGCTGCAGCATCAGTCAATGAAATCTACAACAGTTAGTTTAAGCCACACAGGAAGGTGTAGACTTCCTGAGTGGTTGGGGTCCTAAGGACCGTAAAATCCAGTGGTGGGAAACAATTGATGATATGGCTCAAAATCGTTCTCAATGGCGCAGATGCATCCACTCCCTGTGACTTATAATTTCCAATGAAACTATATTGTTCTTCGTTATTACTATTCCTTTGTCTTATGTCCCTGTCTACTGCCTCTATTATGCATTTCTTCTCTTGCTTTGTGTGCTACAAGGAGGAAGTGTGGCGACTCGAACTGCTGCACATCGGTGCGAAGTTCTACGTCGAAAACAGACAGACAGACAGGAAAGGGATTTCTACTGATGCATTTTAAAGTAGTTTTTTTTAAATCCAATGACTTGCTTTTTTACAGCAGATATTTGTCTGCTTAGTCGGAAAAGCTCAAAACTGGTAAGGTTGTTTTGTCTCACCAATTCGAACTAGTATGCAGTCAGTGACAAATGATTATGACGCAAACCAACTACTTCAAGAAGATATCCTGACCGTAAGTCAGTAAGAAGTGTTCTGTAAGTGTAGGGGATCAAATAAGTTTGTCAAGTCAGCTGAAACTCATCCGTTTCACTGTCAACAATCAATTTGTTTATCCCCGTATGGATTAAAACACATGGTGGCCGATATAATTTTCAGGGGACAAAAGGTCAACGGTGGTGTTGTGGTATGATTGTGTGTCTTTATAATCTATTCTTATCAACGCTAATAAGCACACCTTTGAGCAGTCGTGGAAGTTATATCCTCCTTTTGTTAATTGGTGGCGGTGTTAATAACAGCCTGGCCACCACCAGGTTAAAGAGGCAGGCTAAAGAGTCAGCAGATAGTGTGAGCAATGCTGAAGTCTAGTAGGATAGATGGTTACACAACAAACATGAGCGTTATTTACATTAGAAGCCAACTGGAAACGAGTTCGAAGTCGTTTAAGCAACCTAACTATTTGGTATCCAAATGTTTAATAATCACATTCACGCTATTACAATTGCCCATGAGGAACATGGATTGTGTGAGGGTTGCCAATAGTCCCATGCTTTCCAAAAATCCGGCAAGAAGAGATGTTTCAAAGCATAACTAGCTGATCAGATGCCAAACATCAAAGTCAATAAGTTACAGAGACACAATGTGAGATCAAATGCATATCACCCACTCAATTGATTAACTTAAAGCATAACTGACTTCATTTATTTGAATCTGTTAAACTACTAGGCAAAATGGCAAACGCCATAAGCTATGACGCTGTTACAGACAGAAATGTATATCAATATGTGCCTCCTAATGCAGCCTTTCAACATTTTCCCCATACAATCAAACATTTGTTCTAAAAAAAGAGATCTAGCTGAGCTTGTCCCCTGTAAAGTCTGATCAATTAGGTCTTAAACAAACTGCCTATCATCACTATTGTAATGTTTTCACCATTCTTCAATTAAGCATCAAGAATTTAATCCACAAATTGAGACAGGAGGTATAGCATTACGAATTATACAAGACACCATATATTCAGCCTAGTAATATGAACTGTCCAGTAAAAATAGTATGATTCCTATGATATTACCTTGATCACAAACAAAGTTGTTTGAAGTTCTTATAATTCAGATTTCAGTAAATATTAATGTGTACCGTGTGTACAAACAAGAGACTGGCAAATACAAAAAATGTAGATAAATTTTGGATTAGTCACAGCTGTGCCACTGACCGTTGCTAGAAATCTTTGTAAAGTCGTTGAGGACACTGAGATTTCTGAATACTGGTCGGATGACTCAAGAGTGGCTGTTCTAAATGCTGGTGCCTGATTACAGCTGTCGAAACCTATGAGCATATAGAAGGCAGATATTCCTGTCTTGAAATTTAATAATACAAAAATTTGCATCTATGTGCCACAGTTGTTATTACTTATTCACATCCAAATCATAAATGTTAAGGATATTTTGAAAAAAACAAGTAAAATGCCTAGTCATACTTGCATTATTGTGGTGGTTCCAGAGTGCCTAGAAAACCTTGCTTCGATTTTGTCAACACCCATATCACACTAAATGATGTTCTTATGCTCTGGAAGATCAAGCATCTCGGTCAGTAAGACCAGGTTCACGAAAGTGATAATAAGTTAGAAAATAAAATAAGTGAAACTAAAGCAATGATTTTAGTAGTCGATAGACAAACTCCAGCAAAATTTTACCTAAGCTTATATTATTAGTAGTACAATCATGTAAGCCAGATAATAACTGGCTTACACATTCTTCTACAGTAGACTACATATTAGACTTTACATCCCAAACCTGGTTACGCGAAAACCCCACAGAAGATTATCCACGTAAAATTATGCCTGAACACTATCACACGGCTTTCTGACATATTTATTCTCCAGAAAATTAAGACTTTACCTACTCACAATAAAACGTGAAAATTGTTTACACAGTCGAATATCTCAATTTGTAAAATAAAGCACTCTTAGTTAAATTAAGAGAGGATGAATGAATATAGCCTAACTATTAAGACTATGCCTAAGTTACTCATCTAAGTTTTGACAAACGTAATGTATATTCACCCTAAAACTCAATTGTCTTTGAAAGGTACCGTAGCTCAGCCGTTGTTTAAAATTCAAACCAAGGACTTGGGCTTATAAATCATACAGAAAAAAAACAAGGGCCGGGAGATGAAAAACCATAAGTTCAACACATAAAAAACCGATGCTGGAATCGCGAATAGGTGAAAATGTGAAGTGAACAGTTACGAACAAGTATTCTGTGTCATGACTTCATGTAAGACAAGAGGTTCGTGATTTTATTTAATTCAGCCTGTCAAAACTATTTCAACCCTTACCGGTAGTCTTAGTAGCATGCATATGTTAAAATGCTAGAATCACGGGTGTACATTAAAGCCTAGGGGTCACGGTCTAAACAACAGAAGAACGGTTCAGGTTGTGAAAGTAAAGAATTATGTCCAATATGAAAAATTAAAGCCTGAAATACAATCTCTCTCCGATAGTCTCTTAGAGCTAAAGTATCAGTGAACCTTATGAGGCACTAAAGACAAAATTCAGTCAGGAATACGTCAGGTCCAAGCGTAGATGAGTAATGAAAGCTCACCTTAACCTTCTTGACTTTTAGCAACCATCAAAAACTTCGGAAAATGCACATAATGACCACCGCCTCCCCCGACGGGCTTTGCTAGCTGATATAGGTGCAGGTTGGAAAAGAGCCAGTGGTGGCCAAACAAAAACATGGCCTCATCAATCCATGAAATCCTTGACAGTTAAACTGAGTCAGGTAGGGAGGGAGATGCAGACTCCCGGGTTGGGGCCCTCGGGACTCTAGGAATCAATGGCTGGAGACAATAGGTGACATGGCTCAAAATCGTTGTCAATGGCGCAGATGTATTCAGTCTCTGTAATCTTTCATATTCCTTTCTACCATTACCCATTCTGTTTCACTCTTATACTTGTCAAACTCTATTGATTCTCTTCACTCATCTTCTTGTCTACCTTTGTGTCTGTCTGTCTGTCTGGATTCAACATAGAACTTGGCACCGAAGTGCAGCAGTTCGAGTTGCCACGTTCCAAATAGCACACAGAGGTAGACAAGAAGATGAGTGAAGAGAATCAATAGAGTTTGACAAGTATAAGAGTGAAACAGAATGGGTAATGGTAGAAAGGAATATGAAAGATTACAGAGACTGAATACATCTGCGCCATTGACAACGATTTTGAGCCATGTCACCTATTGTCTCCAGCCATTGATTCCTAGAGTCCCGAGGGCCCCAACCCGGGAGTCTGCATCTCCCTACCTGACTCAGTTTAACTGTCAAGGATTTCATGGATTGATGCCATGTTTTTGTTTGGCCACCACTGGCTCTTTTCCAACCTGAACCTATATCAGCTAGCAATGCCCGTCGGGGGAGGCGGTGGTTAGGCATGCGCACCACGTGACCTAGCCATCTTAGTCTATGTAACTTTATAGCCTCGTCGATTGATTTTCCCTCTTTGCCCAACACTCTACGCCTAACGTCAACATTACTTATCTTGTGAAACCACCTAACGTGAGACAGAGATCGCAGACATCTATGATCGAAAGCAGTCAACCTTTTCATGTCTTCAACGCGTATTGGCCATGTTTCAGAGCCATAGAGAAGGACGGAGCGAACTGATGAGCAGTACACACGTCCCTTGGTTGATAACCGGATGTCACGCCTACGCCAGAGATGGTGTAAGTCAGCGAAAGCAGCTCGAGCTTTTCGGATCCGTGCTGAGATTTCATCGCCAATCAGTCCGTTGGTGCTAATACAACTTCCCAAGTAGGTGAAGTGGTCAACATGTTCTATCACTTCACTCCCTATCACTAAGTTAGGGTTGACGTGGTCCAGTCCTGTAGCAGCATCTTACATTTTGCAGGGGCGAATCGCATGCCAAACATACGAAGATTGCTGCTCAAGGTGTTCAGAAGACTCTGCATTTTGTCAGCATCCTCCCCTAACAGGACTATGTCATCTGCATATTCTAAGTCCATAGATTATTCCCTGGTAACAAGTCGATTCCTAAGTCACTACGTTCAGTTAAGGATACTTCCATTAGCATATCTATGATGAAGTTAAACAGAAATGGGGAAAGTGGACATCCCTGTCGGACACCACTGGTTGTTACCAATTCAGATGACAATTCCCCATAAGCCCTTACACGACTACGTGAGTTTGAATAGAGTGCCTTGATTAGTGCAATGTACTTTCTTGGCACTCCCTTCACAGTCAGACATTGCCATAGTACCTTTCGATCCACGGAGTCGAAGGCCGCCTTCAAGTCAAGAAATATGACAATTGTTGGACGCCGAAAAGTGTGTCTATGTTCTAGAATCTGTCGAAGAGTGAAGATATGATCTATGCACCCTCTACCTGGTCTAAAGCCTGCTTGATTTTCCCTTGTCTGTTCCTCCCGAGTTCTGCTTAGTCTATGCATGATTACTGAGCCTAGGATTTTAGAGACTATGTTCGTTAGGCTGATCCCCCTATGATTATCACACGAGGACTTGTTTCCCTTCTTGAATATCGGTATAATAAGTGACTTACCCCAGTCTGATGGTACTGTCTCTGATTCCCAGACTTTGCCTAGTACCTCAGTTAATCTACAAACTAGTATGTCACCCCCATATTTAAACACCTCCGGAATAATTCCGTCGGGTCCTGCCGCTTTGCCTCGTTTCAAATTACTGATAGCTTTTGTAACCTCACCTACAGACGGCGGACCAGTGTCTATATCCCATTCGGGTACGTGGTGGATGGCGGGGAGGTTCAGTGTGGCTGTAGGCAAGTTAAATTGTTCCTCAAAGTGTTCTTTCCAGCGTTCAAGGCGTCTATCCTGAGAGCTAATTAAGGAGCCATTTTTCTCAGAAATAGTCTCACTTATGAATTGCCTTTCCCGCCCGATTCTGTGATGAGTCTAAAGAGTTGCCTAGTGTTGCCTATCGCCAATGCTTTTTCCATCTCTTTCGCCTTTGTCACCCACCACTGTTCACGGTCCTTGCGGAGACTTTTAGTAAGTTTCCTTTTGTGCAGCTTTCGCTCCTCATTGAATTCGGAGCTCGCCGGAATAAGTCTTCTAGCATCTATCAGTTCGGATGAGGCAGTCGAAATCCAGTGGTTTTTACTCACCTTTGGATTTGCCTTATTCACAGCTTTTACAGCTGTATCTATAGCTGACTGAATATTCTTCCAGGCTTCTCCAGGGTGAGCACAGCTGTCGATTCAGATATGCGTTTAGCTAGTTCTTCCTCAAATAGGGATTTAGTTTCCTGATCGAGCTGGGGACGTGATGGTTTTACCGCCAGCTGTTTCCTACGTCCGTTCAGTCGTAAGCACACACGAGCCCGGACCAGTGCGTGATCGGTATCTACACACGTGTTCCAGAAGGAGCGACAATCTCCTACCGACCCACGCCAACGATAGCTTATTGCTATGTGGTCTATTTGTGTCCAGCGTTGGTTTGATGATGGGGGTCGCCAGGTTAAACAGTGTCTCTCCTTGTGTTTAAAGTTAGTGCTTACAAGAAACAAATGATTATCTGAACAGAACTGTAGGAGACGGTCACCGTTGTCGGTTCGCTGGCACGGAACTCCATAGGTGCCACCGACATCCTTCTCAGATTGACACAATTTCCCTACTTGAGCGTTAAAGTCACCAGCTAGAACGACTATATCTGAGCGTTTAGCCTTTCTCACCAAACTAGACAGCTTTTGGTAGAACTCATCCTTCGTTTCATCCGAACTGCAGTCAGTGGGGGCGTAGGCGGAGATTACGAAAAGGCATCGGCGAGTAGTGCAGTCCTTTCTCCTTCTTACTGATCCGTTCAGACGGACAGCACACATTCGGCTATCTACTGGGATCCAGTCAAGCAATGTCTTTTCTGCCCTAGTACTCAGAGCTATCCCTACGCCAGCTAATCCCCGTGAACTAGCTGTGGCATCTCCTGACACCCTCAAGGTGAATTTTGAAGATTCATCCTGTTGGCCAGGTGGGGTGCTAATTGGAACGTGGCAACTCGAACTGATGCACTTCGGTGCCAAGTTCTATGTTGAATCCAGACAGACAGACAGACATAATGAAAAAACAATCCTAATATTTACATCTAGCTATGATCATTAAAAAGATTTTAGATCAGCCATTAAAGTGGTATAATAGGACAGTTGACCGATTTTGAAACGCATATCATGTAGAAAAGGACGACCATAAAGCATATATAAACTCAATGAGGATAAGAGAACCTTCGAATAGGCTGTTATCTTAAAGATATAAGCGACTAAAGGAGACTAACTTCCACCTCAATAATAACTACATACACAAAATACAAAATTTGCATATATAATTCAACGCAAGATTTTAGTAAAATTACTACAAGTTAACTGACTAATATCCAACCACCGATGATAATGAAATGAGTTGTGGTGTCTGTACCATGGCATTAACAGCCAAAACAAATTACCTCAATAACAACGAAAATAACTCCACCCATCGACGTACATTTTCATGAGAGAATCCCAAAAGAATTTTCAACTCCCGATACGTTCGCTGACAAAAGGTCTGATGTTCGAACGGTGAGGTCTTCTTAATGGCGACTTTTTCACCCTTCACTGTATCATATGCACCACTAGAAAAATTATCATTAGAAGTCCAGCGAACTTACACCACCATTCCATATGCACCTTCCCCAATGTAATTGAGATCAGTGTAACGTGGGGACACTTCAAAAACTTGGTTTTTTACTACAACACGCATCATCTCTGAAACTAGCGTATCGTCCGCCTTATGTTTCGACCTACAACATAGCATAGAAAAACAATACTGGTTTCAGCGTTACTTCAATCATGACATTGCGAACATACCGGCTAGTTCTTGTGCTTTGACGTTATTTCTGCGCTTTATGTTTGGAAAGAGAAGAAAATTATACTGAACTTTTATAGCTTTCGCTCATTTATTCCAACTTATGTTGTTTTAATTGTCTAACAGCATATTTGAACTTCAAACCACCACTGTGGGTTTTTCGAAGGAAAAGGAGAGAAAAAGTAGAATGCTAATGGAGTATGCTTTGGGAAGCATGATACTTCTGAAGTAACAGGTTGTCGACTATTATTTTTGGCTTTAGGATTCTATACAAGTAATTAGTACTACCTAATAAAGCATGCCGATAAGTAATAAATTAGTTTTCAGAATAATCCACATTATCAAAGCTAACTTGTGGCATCATAACTACAGTAGAGGCTCAGGCTGTCTAAACTGAGGTCAGTGACAGGCAGAATCTCGAATTTCCATTGTGATCGAATTCTACTCTGTAGACATTTTAGATTATGCAGCTTGGCTGCTAATCTGCATTAATAATAATTTATATTTATTCCTGTCTATTTAGGTCATTGACTGGCATTATTTAAATTACATAATTTGGTTTATGGTGAAATTACACGGTTGCTGCCTGTTTGTCTTTAGTTTGTGGGAAAAGCCTGACAACCAATGATTAGACGGACCACATCAAGAAATATAGAAATATTAATAATGATAATTGCTTTATTCCAAAAACAGTACTCATGATACAGCAAGGAATTTTAAGCATTCAGTACAATATTGCATCTAATTTACCCAAAAACGACAAAAAAAATTAAAAATACACAATACATAATAGTAATAAAACGATTGTTGTAGCAGCTGCGTAGCAAAATACTGTGTGCCATACGGAGAAAAATATGTATAAAGTACAAAATTGTAGTAATAATAGTAATACCAACTAATATAAAATAGCAGAGTAACGATTTAAACGATAGAAAGTGTAGCACCATAAAATACAGAAAGATGAACGATAAAAGGGTCGATTCACTGTGCTAATTACATAGTAACTTGTAAGTTTCACGTCTAACAGAGTCTTCGTCACATAAAGTACGCGCTAAATAGGGTATTGTAGAATTTCTATACTTAGTAGTACGAGCATATATCTTTTATATTGACTTCTCGTCCTACCTGATGAGATACAAGGGGACAGGTGTGAATAAAGGGGGTGCAGAGGGTCTGAAATTATAGCCTTTGCCCATTTCGTACAGGAATTTATATGCCTCTCGACTATAGTATTAGCGAGCTCATGCAGTGGCAGACCACAAGCTCTACTCACAGCATTTAATACTCTTCGTAATATGATATAATCTTTTTTGAGCAGCCCAGGAAAGATTAATGGAGAGCAGTAGAGTACAATAGGTAAAATACAGGAGTTTAAAAATTGCAAAACTAAAGGTTGGTTGATACCTGATTGTCTTAACTTTTTAATGTAGAAGGTAAGACGAAACATTTTCTTAGAGATAGATAAGATATGGGATGACCATAAAAGGTCAGAGGAAAGAGCTAATTCAAGGTATTTAATGCTTGACTTGGTTTCAATTTCCGTGCCATCTATGCTACAGGGATCATGAGAGTTAACTAGTTCAAGTAAGTCACGTCGATGCTTGAAAGTAAAGTCAAGCACCTGAAATTTGGAAGGATTTGACATAAGACCATTTGACTTAGACCAGTTGTTGATGTCCAACAGAAAGCTATTAAGTTTGGAGCTGTCAGACTCGGAAGTGATAGGCAGTGATACAGTCAGATCATCTGCATATTTAACAAAGTTAGTTTCGTTTGAATGAGGCAGGTCATGTAGGAAGAAAGAAAAAAGAAAAGGAGAGAGGACAGCACCTTGAGGAACACCGGATTTTGTAAGCGAGGTAGAAGAAGATTTGCCGTTATATACAGTATACTGCATTCTATCAGAAAAATAGGAATGCAACCAACTCTTAGCCCAGGATCCTGTTTGTGTCAATGATAGCTTATTTAATAAAAGGCCCCTAGGTACAGAGTCAAAAGAAGATGTGTAGTCTAAGAATATTGACTTCGCATTAACAAAACACCAGGTATGTTTTGGATGGATTACAGACACTTGGGAAAAAAGCAAAGCTTGAAGTCATTTCCCTCATTTATCAATGAAATGAGTCTTATAAAAATATATTCTCACTTTATGTAGATGAAGGACGCCATATTACAGACGTCATCAATATGATAGTAATGTATGCATGGAATGGGCGCGTTTAAAATTTTTCACAGACACGGGATATATATACAGGGAAAGGCAATGGAATAGTCGCATTAAGCACACTTTACATAAGTTAAAACAATTTATATGATATAATCCTAGGCACCACTGTTGTTTGAATTTGTCGAAAGCGTGAGTAACAACTGAAGGTTGCGTTATATGTAGACGATATGGTGGGATATTGATAAAAGTATAAAAATTGATTGTTAAACGTTATATAGTTTACTGAAAACAATGCAATATACAAGACGCTCAGCACAGCAGTAATGGTACAGTTGAAAATGCAGACAAGTATTCAAAATTAAGAAAGAGGTTCGTTATCGATTCTTTTAGGTCTGGAACCAAAACGAGTGCGAACCGATCCAGAACACAAGTCGCAAATAGCAGAGAGGAACAAAAAATTATCATTGTGTGACTCAGTTGGATCCCAAATGAAACTGCCAGAAAATTTTCTGACAATCACGTCAAAAAAAGCCACTAATGCCCAGCTCTTGCTACGCCGGGCCTCTCGCTGTCCCTCGAAGCCTTTCAGCAACGCTTAGTACTAACGGACGCAAAAACCAAAACACCGATTGGCGACTCGAGAATTCTTTATTCCAACACCAACATATGAGCAGCATAATGAACTAAGGTTTCTGACGGTTTTTTACGTTCTTTTTGAACAGCGGCCGATGAGACAATGACTGGTGTGTCGATGACTCCACGAAAATATAGGGAAGTTGGGTTTGAGAAAACAACCATGAATTGATCGTTCAATCTTCAAATACATTGACACTCCCCGGCAAAAATGGATCGATCACTATTTCTCATCGCGACAAAAAAACGTTGACTTCGATGACATTGCGACAACCCGGGCCAAAAGGACAAAGCTGAAATGGAAAACAAACAGAAAAGCCAACACACCACAAGCATACTCACAGCGCAATCTCACACATCAATGACGACCTCCGCCTTCCAGTTAAAGGTGTCCTCTTGACATCTTGCAACACAGTCTCCACTTGCTAGAATGACTCTTGCAGAATGCGACGTGACCATAGCACCACCTCATGAAACTCTACGCACATCCTCGTATCTACTCGCTACCAACTACCACTGCAATCGCTTGTCACTCATTCTGCCTCAGTTCTAGCAACGGTGACGTATGCAAACCTCAGTCGTATACACTCTCGCTCCCCGGCGTGTCGGTCCAAAGCTTGAATAGAAACATTCATTCTCAATCATTGATTCCACAGCTAATCCTTATCTCCGTGTGCATGTCATTCTCATAATTAGCCTCCCCGGCGTATATGACCCATCTGCTGTCTTTAACATCAATCAATTCATTCACGGATGTAGAAGACTCGAAACAACTCCAGAAGTAAACACGACGAAAATTTTGACAAAATTATGCGAAACAACAAGGTGTGAAAACAACAAGTAAACACAGTGAATCCAAAAACACCAATCGATATGACCTACCACACGTATATAAAAACAGTACACATAAACTCGCGGACCATGTCTTGATGTAATTCCTTTGAAGAATCGCAGAACTTACACCAGTACGCCTGCAACCCTTCTCACGTTGACGATTGTAAGTTGTAGAATGTCCGGACACAATCAAGACTAACCAACAATTACAATAATTGGAACCCACTCAATTACTTAACACAAACATATGTACAATCAATACATCAAATGTTGTGGATTCTGCCTTGACGTAATACACTTGAGAATTGTAGGACTTACAGGAGTACGCCTACAACCCTTCTCAGGTTGATGCCCCAGGTTGGAAAATCGTCGCAAAGTTCATTTGCTGACCTCCTTCTATCATCTATATCCTCAATTCTGAACAGTAACACGCCCATGTCATTGTATCGTGGAATGTAAATGACTAACAAACATACGACGTATTTGGCCAACCAGGTGTAGGCACAGAGTAATTTACACCAAAGATAATAGCATTCAAATAGTAACTTGAAACTAGAAATGCCTTCATTCATGCATGACCTTGACCTTGGCGGCCTGTTCGAATTTTTGGGCCTGCTACCAAAATATCTTTAAAAAAAGTCAATTTAACAGTTACCCTCTCGTACACACTTGGCTTATCCTCACTAAACTGAGCAATATCTTTCGTCTTTTCAAACGCATCAATACTATCATAGTCATTGCACAAGACACCTGAGTTCATGGACGTCCCTTTTATTGTGGATGACAACAGCGACGACTGGTTGATACCAGCTGATGAACTTAGCGGTGGATCAGAAGCTGTTGTTGTTCGCCTTTCAGAAATTTGTCTAACTACAAGATTACCACCACTGCTGTCTTTTACTATTAGCTCGGGTTTATCACTAGCATCTAATGATAAGTGGGCTACTCGCTGATCATCTACACTGACGGTCTCACAAGTATCCATACCTTCTGCAACTGCTTCTACATTTAATTCTCCTTCACGTTCAAGTTTTACAGAACCATTGTTCAACTCAGCAGTAGTAGGGATTCCCCTCATCTCATCATGATCAGCCAAAGACAAATGTGCACTATCATGATCATTATCACGAATATTCACTTCACCGTCGTCTATCTGGTCGACTTCATCATTCTCAAACACTTTAATAGATGATTTGGGTTCTTCCTCACAAATCCTTAAAAGTTTTATACCTTCACTCTGACTAGTAATACCTTGTAAACTTGT